AGTGACGACGAGTGACTACGAGTGACGACGAGTGACGACGAGTGACGACGACGACGACGACGACGAGCGACGACGAGTGACGACGAGCGACGACGAGCAACGACGAGTGACGACGAATGAAGACGAGGGGCGACGAGTGACGACGAGTGACACCGACGAGTAACGCATGGGTCCCAAAAAAATGGAGACCCGTTATCTCTATGTGCGTTGTGTTTTACTTGCCTCGGGCCTATCCCGCCACCGTGCCTATAGCAGCACAACATGGGTCCCCTAAAAGTGGGGATCCGTTATCTCTATGTGCGTCTCTTTGTATCTTACTTGTCCACGGTGGATCACGCCATCGTGCTATAGCAGCACAACATGGGTCCCGAAAAAGTGGGAACCGGTTATCTCTGTGTGCGCTGTGTCTAAGGCCCATCCCGCCACCGTGCCTATAGCAGCACAGCATGGCTCCCCAACAAGTGGGGACCCGTTATCTCTATATGCGTTTCTTTGTATTCTCCTTGCATCAGGCCTATTCCGCCACCGTGCCTATAGCAGCACAGCAAGGGTCCCCAACAAGTGGGGATCCGTTATCTCTATATGTATTTCTCTATATTTCACTTGCCTACGGCCTATCCCGCCACCGTGCTTAAAGCAGCACATCATGGATCCCACAAGAAACTTATCTCTATGAACACTTCTTTGTATCTTACTAGCCTGTGAACCTATCCCGCCACCGTGCCTATTGCAGCACGACATGGGTCTCCAAAGCGAAGTGCAATATAGATCCCCATATTAATCTCGATCCAGGAGTGCGCCTGGGATCACACATGATCAGGAAATAATAGGTTGTGCATGAGATAATGGATGATTTACATAGCAGATCGTTGAGATCCACATATGAGGCTGGATCCAGGAGTGCGCCTGGGAGCACGCATGATCAGAAAAAATATATGGTACATGGGATTCTGATTGGTTTACATAGCGGGTCATAAAGATCACCATTTCAGGTTTAATCCGGGAGTGCGCCTGGGAGCACGCATGATCAGGAATAAAAACATAGGATTGTAAGCGATTTGCATAGCAGGTCGTAAAGATCCCCATTGCAGGCTCGATCCAGGAATGCGCCTGGGAAAACGCATGATCAGGACATCTTATTTTTTTTGCATAGGATTATAAATGGTTTACATGGCGGGACGTAAAGATCTCCAAAGCAGGCTCGATCCAGGAGTACGCCTGGGCACACGCAAGATCAGGAAATCATATCTTTTTCATAAGATTATGGGTGGTTTACATAGCGGGTTGTAAAGATCCACATAGCAGGCTCGATCCAAGAGTGCGCCTGGGAGCACACATGATCAGGAAATATTATATTTTTGCACAGGATTGTGGGTGGTGTACGTAGCGGACCATAAGGATCCTCATAGCAGGCTCGATCCAGGAGTGCGCCTGGGAGCACGCACGATCAGGAAATAATATGTTTTGCATAGGATTGTGGGGGGGTTACATAGCGGCACGTAAAGATCCACATAGCAGGCTCGATCCAAGAGTTCGGATGGAAATCAGAACGCGCGGGGTCTGGGTGATTAAGATTTAATAAATATAAGATTAAGAAGTTAGGGTTTAGGGTTTAGGGTTTAGGGTCTAACAGGCTTGGCCACTATAATACCTTCACCGCGCGCTCACCTGCGGTGGCCCTCAATCCCACCCGCATCTCCACCCCACCATCAAGATCATCTCTCCCATCCTTTTAAAAACATCGGGTCATTGCAGTATGATGCATCATCGAGTTGCGCCACTGTGCTATAGCATGGTATGCCACAGCATGGGTCCCCAAAAAGTGAGGACCCCTATGTGCGCGTCGTCTTTCACTCTTCCTTGCCCTAAACCTATCCCGCCACCCACTGTGCTATAGCATGGCATAGCACAGCATGGGTTCCCAAAGCGGTGACCTCTATGTGCGCGAATCTTTTACTCATACTTGCCCTCGGCCTATCCCGCCACTATACTATGGCATAGCACAGCATGTGTTCCCAAAAAGTGGGGACCCCTTATGTGCACGTTGTCTTTTACTTCTACATGGTCTATGCCTGCCCCGTCACTGTCCTATGGCATGGCATAGCACAGCATGGGTCCCCAAAACGTGGCCCCTATGTGCGCGTTGCCTTGTACTGTTACTCAATCGCGCCACTGTGGTATAGCATGGCATGGCACAACATGGGTCCCCAAAAAGTGGGGACCCCTATATGCGCGCCGTCTTTTACTGTTACTTGCCGTAGGCCTATCCCGCCACTCACTGTGCTATAGCATGACATAGCACAGTATTGTTTTTACTGTGAATTGCCCTAAGCCTATCCCGGCACTTTGCTATACCATGGCAAGGCACAGCATGGGTCACCAAAAAGTGGTGACCCCTATGTGCGCGTCGTCTTTTACTGTTACTTGCCCTAGGCCTATCCCGCCACCGTGCTACAGCATGGCATAGCACAGCATGGGGTCGTCTTTTACTACTACTTGCCCTAAGCCTATCCCGGCACTGTGCTATACCATGACAGGAACACCATGGGTCACCAAAAAGTGGTGACCCCTATGTGCGCGTCGTCTTTTATTATTACTTGCCCTAGGCCTGTCCCGCCACTGTGCTATACCATGGCAAGGCACAGCATGGGTCACCAAAAAGTGGTGACCCCTATGTGCACGTCGTCTTTTACTGTTACTTGCCCTAGGCCTATCCCGCCACTGTGCTACAACATGGCATGGCACAGCATGGGTCCCCAAAAAGTGGAGACCCCTGTGTGCGCGTCGTCTTTTACTGTTACTTGCCCTAGGCCTGTCCCGCCACTGTGCTATAGCATGGCACAGCACAGCATAGGTTCCCAAAAAGTAAAAACCTCTATGTGCGCGTCGTCTTTTACTGTTACTTGCCGTAGGCCTATCCCGCCACTCACTGTGCTATAGCATGACATAACACAGCATCGCATTTTACTGTTACTTGCCCTAAGCCTATCCCGCCACTGTGCTGTACCATGGCAAGGCACAGCATGGGTCACCAAAAAGTGGTGACCCCTATGTGCGCGTCGTCTTTTACTGTTACTTGCCCTAGGCCTATCCCGCCACCGTGCTACAGCATGGCATAGCACAGCATGGGCCCCCCAAAAATGGAGACCCCTATGTGTGCATTGTATGTGCGCGTCGTCTTTACTCTACTTGCCCTAGGCCTATCCCACCACTGTGCTACAGCATGGCGTAGCACAGCATGGGTCCCCAAAAAGTGGGGACCTCTATGTGCGCGAATATTTTACTTCTACTTGCCCTCGGCCTATCCGGCCACTGCACTATGCCATGCTATAGCCCGGTGGCGGGATAGACCTGGGATAGGTACCCAAAAAGTGGGGACCCCTATGTGTTGTCTTTTACTGCTACTTGCCCTTGACCTGTCCCGCCACTGTGCTATAGCATGGCATAGCACAGCATGGGTTGCCTATCCCGCCACTGTGCTATAGAATGGCATAGCACAGCATGGGTCTTGTGAATGCTTTTCTGTGCATGCGTTCTGTCAGAGGGTGCTCAAACCTATGATGTTCGGCCTCATATCTGGTTCAGGAGCTATCGTGTGCTCATAACCAATCCTCGTCCTCTGCAGTTGGTTCTATAGAGCATCCATTGAATATTTGATGTGGCACTCTCGCACGTTCTATTGTTGTCTGCTCGGTGACTATTATGCTGTTATGTGCACATGTTCTGGCAGAGGGAGCGGTCAAACCTATGATATTCGGCCTCATCTTTGTTCAGCAGGATCTATCGTGTGCTCATAACCAACCCTCGTCATCTGCAGTTGGTTCTACAGAGCATCCTTTGCATATTTGATGTGACACTCTCGCACGTTCTATTGTTCTGCTCTGTGTCTCATGCTGTTCAATGCACATGTTCTGGCAGAGGGAGCGGTCAGCATGGGTCCCCAAAAAGTATGCGCGCGGTGTCCTTACTTACAGATCAATGCCTATCCCGCCACTGTACCATGGCAAACAGGCCTATCTGCTGTCACTTGTGTTTGGCCTATCCCGCTACTGCTCTAAAGCATGGCATAGGACAGCATGGGTCCCCATTGAGTGGAGACGTCTATGTGCTCGCAGTCTTTTACTCTTACTTGCCCTGTGCCTATCCTGCCACTGTGGTACAGCATGGCATAGCACGGCATGGGTTCCCAAAAAGTGGAGACCCTTATGTGCGTGTTGTCTTGTAATATACTGTCCTATGCGTGCGTCACAGTGTAATAGCACAGCATAGCACAGCATGGGTCACCAAAAAGTGGTGACCCTTATCTCTGCGGTGTCCTTACTTACAGATATATGCCTCTCCCGCCACTGTACTATGGCAAACAGGCCTATCAGCCACTTTCACTTGTGTTTGGCCTATCCCGCTACTGCTCTATACCATGGCAGAGGACAGCATGAGTCCCGATTGAGTGGAGACGCCTATGTGCGCGCTGTCTTTTACTCTTACTTGCACTATGCCTACCCTGCCACTGTGGTACAGCATGGCATAGCACGGCATGGGTCCCCAAAAAGTGGTGTCCATACTTACAGATCTATGCCTATCCCGCCACTGTACTATGGCAAACAGGCCTATCTGTCACAGTCACTTGAGTTTAGCCTATCCCGCTACTGCTCTATAGCATGGCATAGGACAGCATGGGTCCCCATTGAGTGGAGACGTCTATTCTTTCACAATTACTTGCCCTATGCCTATCCTGCCACTGTGGTACAGCATGGCATAGCACGGCATGGGTCCCCAAAAAGTTGTGGCCCTTATGTGCGTGTTGTTTTGTACTCTACTGTCCCATGCCTGTGTCACTGTGTAATAGCATGGCATAGCACAGCATGGGTCCCCAAAAATGGGTCCCTATGTGTGCGGTGCCCTTACTTACAGATCTATGCCTATGTGTAATCGCATAGTGTAGCCTCGGGTCCCCAGACGATTCAGCAGATGGAATATTTTGCCATCCCCAAAACAAAAGACTGCATTCCATGTGTTATGCTATTTCAGTACAGCTGCACGTCACCACAGTGGACGGTCATCTCTATGTGCTATTCTCTGAGCATCCAGACAGAGTGTGCTTCACATTCCCTCTGACATATGTCATCTGCTGCAATTGAACATCCAAGCAGGCAGCGCGCCCGCGCCCTCGCGCCAGCTGCCAGGTGGAGCGTTGCCTCCCCAGCAGCTTCGCCATGTCTGGTCGCAAGCGCCCCGCGGCGGCGCTCCCGCGCGTGGGCGACGTGCGCGATCACGCGGACCTGGTCCGGGACATCATAGAGGAAATTCCGGATTGGGGCCATAAGCGTGTTGGCGCCCGGCTTGGCGAGCTCCTGGGCGTGAGGCTGGAGGACTCTGACTACCAAGCGGTGCTGCGGCTGCAGAAGGCCGAAACCGCTGCTCCTGGCGCGGAGCGCCAGGCTTCTGAGCTCTTCTCCGGGGACGTGCGGGAGCACGTGGACTCTACAAGGACCTCGTGGCCTCGCATCCAGAGTTGGGGTACAAGCTCATTGCCCGCAAGCTGGCTGAGAAGCTCAAGGTGAAGCTATCTGGCGCCCACTTGCAGGTTCTCAAACGCATTATGACCGACCTCTCCGAGGGCCGCGCGGCGGCGGACCTGGCAGAGTGGGAGGAGTTCAACGGGGACATGCGGGACCACGTTGACGCTATCAGAGCACTCGTGGTGGTTCATCCTGACATGGGCTACAAGGGCATTGCCCGTGAGCTCCAGCGGCATCTCCGCGTGAAGCTATCACAGGCCCACCTCAGTGTCATCAGGCGCATCGTGACGGGGATCTCGGAGGGCCGTGTGGTGATGCCAGAGCAGACGGACCTCGATGACTTCACCGGGGATGCGCGGGAGCACGTGGACGTTATCGAGGAGCTCGTGGCCTCGCACCCCGAGTTGGGGTGCAAGCTCATTGCCCGCAAGCTGGCGGAGAAGATCGGGGTGAAGCTATCGCCCGCGCACCAGCTGGTCATTAAGCGCATTATGACAGACCTCTCCGAGGGCCGCGCGGCGGTGGACATGCGAGAGTGGGAGGAGCTCAACGGGGACATGCGGGACCACGTTGACGCTATCAGAGCACTCGTGGTGGTTCATCCTGGCATGGGGTACAAGGGGATTGCCCATGAGCTCCAGCAGCATCTCCGGGTGACGCTATCGCAGGCCCACCTCAGTGTCATCAGGCGCATCGTGGCGGGGATCTCGGAGGGCCGTGCAGTAGCCGGCGCGCAGCGGGAGGGCGAGGACTATGGGGCCTTCGCTGTGGACGTGCGCGACCACGTGGCCACCATCAAGGAGCTCATGATGCATCACCCCTCCATGAACCACGAGGGCATCGCCCACGAGCTCGAGGAGAAGCTCCAGGTGGAGCTATCTGATACCCGGAAGCGGGGCATCCTTCGAGTCATGGCCGACATCGGCATCGAGCTCGTGGCTGAGGATGTGGCGATGCCAGAGCAGACGGACCTCGAGGACTTCACCGGGGATGTGCGGGAGCACGTGGACTCTATCAAGGAGCTCGTCGCTCTGCATCCCGGGTTGGGCTACAGGTTCATTGGCCGGAAGCTGGAAGAGAAGCTCCGGGTTAGCCTATCGCAAGCGCATTTTCAGATCATCCTCCGCATCATGACAGAGATTTCGGAGGGCCGTCTGGCGGTGGGCGTGTCTATGCGACAGCAGCCTGAGCGGCGGCACTTTGGCGACTTCCCTGGGGACCTGCGGCAGCACGTCGACACTATCAAGGAGCTCATGACGCTGCATCCTACTAAAGGTCGACATCATATTGCTGGCGAGTTGGAGACTCGGCTCCAGAAGAAACTAACCGCTGCCCGCTTGTCCATACTCCAGCGCATCATGATTCGCCACGGTGTTCTGTCCTATGAGTTCCTGTCGGGCGCTGACCGGGTGGCCGTGGTGCAGGGACTGGTCCAGTGCCATGCGGAGCCTGCGGCGCGGCGGCAAGCCGTGCAGGAGCACTATGAACGGAATGTCTCTCTTACGGTGCTGGGACGCTGGATGTCTGAGCACTATGCGCCCGATCGCGGCGGCTGCCCTGTGCGGCGACTGTGGCAGGACGGGGAGTGGGGGGGCGCTTCAAATCCGATATTCACCGCTGGGGGGGGGGAGTTTTCTATCATTATTTCGTGTTTCTCGGCATGTTGCTATGTGCAGTTTGGACTTGCCCGATCTCTGATCTGTCCAGTGTGCCATGGGTTCGATTCTTGTTTCTGGGATCTATTCAGATAGCATGGCATAGCACAGCATGGGCCACCAAAAAGTGGTGACCCTTATGTGTGCGGTGTCCTTGCTGACAGATCTATGCCTATGTGTAATCGCATAGTGTAGCCTCGGGTCCCCAGACGGTGAGGACCCCTTGTTTCTGTTTCTTTCCCTGTGCCTATCGCGCCGCCGGGTGTGGGTGTCTGTTCTATAGCATGGCTGCATGTTTGCAACTTCTTTTGCAATTTGAGCTCGGCCGATCTCTGATCTGTCCAGAGTGCCACGGGTTCCGCTTCTTGCTTCAGGGATCTAGTCAGTCGGATTCCAAGGGTCTTGCTTCGTTACCGCGCACACATGCCTGTGTGGGGCCCGACTCTATCTCGCACTCCCAGTAGGATGTTTTGTCATGGCTGATCCGTCAGGGCTTCTCGGTTTATCATTGCGCAGCCTCAGGACAAGTACGTCGACTGCGCTCGCACCTACCGGTCTCGCCGCGTTGGTGCTAAGACTGATGAGGACGCCGCTCTGCAGGCTATCATCAAGTCCGTCCACGGCGAGGCGGTGCCGGTCTGGATGCTGCAGGAGGCGCTCCACAGGGCATCGACTATCCGTCGATGGGAGGCGGAGCGTCGACTGGAGTTCGCGGCGGTCTGCTATGGCTCACTGCCGTGCCGTACTGCGCTTCCCTCTGGGTCACGTGGTGCCGTGGAGCTTCAGCACTATCGCTTCTTCATCGCCTACGAGAACTGGGTCGCTTGCGAGCTGTGCGGCTATCGTTGGCAGGTTCTCAAGGGTCAGCAGTCGGGTTCGACGTATGTCTATGGCAACACCGTCCGCGGCGACTGCGTTCGCCGTCTTCCTCGATGCCGATCTTGTGACCATCGCGGGCAGCAATCGCAATGCTCCTTGCCGTTGGAGGCGCTCCTGTGGCCGCTGCCTTCGGAGGTCGAGGCGGGCGTCAAGACCGATCAGCTGTACGTCGTGCCGCAGCGGACGCACTGGCCCGTCTATCTTCCGGCAGCGCAGCGGTTCGTTACAGCCTATGACTTCAGCACCCGTCTTGCGGCCATGCGCGAGGCCGGGCGCCATGGGCCTGTTGATGCCATGGACGTGCAGGAATTGGAGATCTTGGTGCGGGAGTTTGCTGACTATGAGCCGTACTTCCGCGAGCATGGCGCTGAGGGCATCGTCAGCCTCCTGGACATCACGCAGGAAGAGGCTGCCTCTATCACGCCCTACGTACTCTTCGTGACGAAGCAGAAGGAGCGCGGCTTCGTGGCCAGGGGCCCCACCTACAACTGGAAGAAGACCCGGGTGTGCCGCGTCAACTACAAGCGCGAGGACCTGGAGACGTGTGGGGCCATGACTCCCAGGGCGCGGGCCGCCTACGACTGGCTCATGCTGCACAATCGCACCTATCGTCGGTACGCGATGCAGCAGAAGCGCATGCTGTCCTACCCGGAGGATGAGCGGGAGATGTTCATCGCGACCTACCGGCTGCTCATCCAGAGCCGCGGCATCGAGGTTGTGCTCTTCCCCGTGCTCTATCCCTGGGAGGTCTACTCCGACAGCGACGTGCGGGGCTGGGCCGGGGACCGCAAGCTGATGAAGAGTTCTCAGCATCCGTCTATGAAGAAGGCCTTCCTGCGCAAGGTTCCCTCTCGGTGCCGCACCTATGGCGACGCGGAGGCGGTGCCCGATCTGGCCTTCCTGCTATACGACATGGCCACGGCGCAGAGGATTTCGGCGAGCTTGGCCATCGCGGGGCAGCGGGGCATCACTCCCGATGTCGTCGCGGACACCAGCTCTACGTCCGAGAGCTACTGGCGCCACGAGCAGGACCTTCTGTGCGACGTCGTGCGCCAGCACACACTTCGATATGGCCGGGCCTCTGCCTATCCGAACCTGTTCATCACTGTCGCTCCGGCTGAATGGAAGGTACTACTACACGAGCCTCTATTCGCGGATTGGAAGGCCGCGGGGCGTCTCTCTGGGTGCCAGGGCATGTTATCCGAACACATCTACGAGTTGCTGTGCGATGCTATGAAGCAGATCTTGCGTCCCAACGATTTTTTTAGCGAGGTCCGCGACTATGTCATCCGCCTCGAGTTCCAGGGCCGCAAGACGGAGCACATCCACATTGCGGCCTGGGTGATTCATCGGCAGGTGCTATCTGGCCGCAGTGGCACTGGTGACACCTCGCCATTCGCGCGCTTCCTGGAGGAGCTCTTCCGCGGGTCCGTGGACGTGCAGCACGGCGAGGGGTTCCTGAACTATATCAACGGCTACGTTGTCAAGGGCAATCAATCTATGGATTTTCAGCCCGATGCCGCGCGCAGCGGCGGGGGCGACCACTCGGCCTGGCGCACCACCTATCGCATGCTGTGCAAGCTGGCTCCTGGCCTGCCCGAGGTGTTCCTCGACTTCGCGGGCGCTGCGCACATCTATCGGACCTTTGCCGTGGTCAACGCGTACGCTATCATACCGGGGAGGCGGGACCAGGGCAACAACGACACCAAGCGGTTGTACGAGCGTTATCGCGCACGTCTGGTTGTCTCTGGGGAGCCGGACTTCTACGGCAGCTTCCTGAGCTACATCCGCACCTATTCGTGGCAGGACGCTACGACGGTGACCAGGCGCAGAGGGCGCGGGCAGGACAGCCTTGTCGCCGTCGGCGTTCGCTATGCCTTCGAGATGCAGGACAACGTCATCGGGCAGTTCTGCACAATGATGTTCCCGCATCTGGACTATAAGACCTTTGAGCCGCCTCCGAAGACGGAGGTCATTGCTTTCACCGCATACTATTTGCGGGCGCTGCAGTACCTGCGTCACCTCGCGTGGACGACGGGCACTCCGCCTGCACGGGCGGACTCGCATCGACGGCGGTTGGCGCGGGAGCTGCCTCGCGCCGAGGGGGAGAGCGACGTGACCTATGCGGCTCGCCTGCAGGAGGTAATGGATTCGTCCCGGTGGGTGGGCTTTGCGAAGGAGGCCGAGTACATCCCGTCGTTGTCATCTGAGCCTGCGGAATCCATGACCAACGACCACCCGCGCTACACGTGGGAGCTCTTTCACTGTTGGCCCAGCCACGTTATCGAGGGCGACGAGCACTCGCGCTTTCAGCGCCACCCGCTGCGCTTCCCGGACGCCACAGTTGGCTCGTGCGGCAAGCCTTTCGAGGATGTCGACTCGGCGCTCAACTACCTCGTAAACGTTGTCCAAGGGGATCTCTCTATACGCGTTGCTCCCGGTCGCGCCAGGTCGTTCCGTGCTCGGATCTACGCCGTGCACTGCTTCTATAACTACATGGAGTACTGCAGGGAGAATCCTTTTGCGATACCACATGCCTTGCGCCAGCAGTGGGAAGAGTCCAACGTTGGAGTGTTCCACTTCTATAACACATACAGGGAAGAGTGGAATCGCGTCATCGGGCACCGGCGTCCCGTGCTCACTTGGTCTGCCGACCAGCAGGAGGTGCTGCGCGTGGTGGACGGTCTGCTGTCCAGGGCCGACGCCAACGTTGCCCACGAGCAATTCTACTACGTGCAGGGGGAGCCAGGCAGTGGCAAGACCGAGGTTCTATGCGAGGCGGCTCGCAGGGCTGCTGATGCGGGTCTGCGCGTGCTTGTTCTGGGGCCCACGGGCACCCTGGTGCACACCTACAAGACAAAGGCGCAGCACGAGAACATCAACGTGGAGACCATACACTCTGCATGGCACATCTACCGCAGTGCGGACACGGTGGTGGACTACGCCCCTCCCTCGCGGCTCCGCAGTTATGATCTCATTATCATCGACGAGGCCTCGCAGATCGAGGATGCTGTTGCCGTCCGCCTGCATAACGGCTTCAAGGAGCTGCCGCAGCGGCCGACTGTCTTGTTCGCTGCAGATTTCCAGCAGCTCAATCCCCTGGGCAGCTCCGTGGCAATGCGCACCTTCATCACTATCATGACTACCATCACCCTGCACACCATACATCGGACAAACGATGACCGTCTTCGGGGCTTCTTGCGGCAGGTGCGCGTCAAGCAGCCTCCGAAGAACGTCATCCGGGCCTTCTTCGCTGGCCGCACCTGGGACCGCATTACTCTGGAGAAGGCCGTCGCCGAGGGCAAGGCTATTGGCGATAACATGGGTGAGACCTTTACGTGGCTGACTGTCACCAACAAGGGCGCCGAGGCGGTCAACGCGGCGTGCCTCTCGGCGAACAGCTTGAATAAGCCCGAGCACGCTTCTCGTTACTATGGCGACCCGAAGGTGTTGGGTTTCCCAGATGCGGCCGTGGCGCATGGGTTCTGAGCTTCGCGCTCTTGTACACATGCATCCCCGATGCATCGCCGAGGTCGCTGGCGCATCGGCAATGCGACGCGAAGCTTGGACCCCCTCCGCACGATCGCAGCTGGGATGCCTGCACAGGTTGCCTCCGGCAAGGACGTGCTATTCATCGCCCCTGATGTCATCGTGCGGCTCACGCGGAACCTCGACAAGGAGCGGGGCTTCGTCAATGGTGCCATTGGCCGTATCCAGACGGTGCTGAATGACGACAGGACCATCTTCACCGTGGAGCTGCTGGGCACCGGGCAGCGTCTCCTTGTGCATCCTATTACCGACGGCGGTGTCGAATTCTTGCCCTGCACGTATGGATATGCGACTACAACTCGCAGGGCGCAGGGGGCCACCCTCATCGTCGGCGCTCTCTACTTCGACCACTCCTACCCACCTGAACGGGGCTACGGATACGTGGGCACGAGCCGCTTCAAGTGCGCCGAGAACATCTATCACTTTGGCTCTATCCGTCGCACGGATTGGCTGCCTGTCAGCCTCAAGCGCGACGATCCTGAGGAGCAGACTAGCCGGACGGCTCAGAGCGAGTCCGACGACGAGCTTAGCCCTCAGCTATGGGAGATGGACACGGAGTCGGACTCTGAGGCCGGTTCTTCTGATGTCTATTCGGACTACGGCGAGGTGGACGAGGAACAGCGCGCCGCCATGTTCGAGGAGCTGGCTGCGAGTCGGGGCTCGTCTGATCTGTCCGCGTTTCACCCGTGAGACGGACTGCCTTTCCATTTGCACTGCAGAAAATATGTCGCCCAACCAGTTGTCGTGCTACCATCCATTTGTCCCTGACATCTTCTTTCCTATGACATGTTTTCCTCAGCAGTGTTTGCACTTGCGCTGTCGTCAGTGCGCACTATGCCTCCCGTGATTTGCGGCTCCCTCTAGCCGCATGGACCCTGTTTGGGGAGCACATACGCATGTGTGTCTGGGACTCATAAGCTGCTGTACATTTTTTTGCGTGTTAACGAGCATCAAATCATTGTACTGTTATTTGCCCCAGGCCTATCCCGCCACTATGCTAGAGCATGACTAACATCGCATTTGTCCCAAAAATTAAGAACCTCTATGCGCGCGTTGTCCTTCACGATCGTACTGCTATATTCCATTTTGACCGATAGGTTCATGCTCACGATTCCTGGAGTCGTGCTATCAACCAATGGAACCAGATGTCTCACCGCGTCTGCCTATGTGCCAGCAGCACCGTTTTCTCGACAGTGTTTACATTCTCGCTGGCGTCCGTCCTCTGTGCCTCTCCCTGCTGCGCGGGGTCTCTGCTGCACAGCAGCAGGACCACACCTATTCACGTAGTCGGGAACGTGTCCGGGCTCCGTATGTCCAGTTGTACTAGTGACGTCTTCAGTTTGTTGGCTGCTCTTGCTGCAGTGCTACCCCGACACCGTGCTATAGCTTGGCATAGCACGTGCCCTGGGCCTATCCCGCCACCGTGCTATATCATGACTTGCATAACATAGGTCTCAAAAAAGTGGGGACCCCTAAATGCGCGTCGTCCTTTACTTCCTCTGAGCCCAGCCCGCCATTGCGCTATAACATGGCATAGCACAGCATGGGTCCCCCAAAGGTGCGCCCCTATGTGCGAGTCGGCTTGTACTGTTACCTGCCCTATGCCTATCCCGCCACCGCGCTATAGCATGGCATAGCACGGCAGGGGTCCCCAACAAGTGGGGACCCCTGTGTGCGCGTTGCTTTTACTGTTAATTGCCCTGGGCCTCTCCCACCACTGTGCTATAGCATGGCATAACACAACAAGATTCCCTAAAAAATGGGTGGCCCTATGTGCGCGTCGCCTTTTACTGTTATTTGCCCTAGGCCTATCCCGCCACTGTGCTATAGCATGGCATGGCACAGCATGGGTCTGCAAAAAGTGGGGACCCCAATGTGCGCGTTACCTTGTACTCCTGTTGCCTTAGGTCTAGCCCGCCACTGTGCGATGGCATAACATAGCACACAAGGGTCCCAAAACTGCGGGGACATGTACGTGCGCGTTGCTGCTTACTCGTACTTACCCTAGACTTATCCCGCCACTGTGCTATAGCATGGCAGAGCACAGCATGTGCCCTCAACAAGTGAAGGCCCCATGTGTGCGCGTGGCCTTGTATTTTTTGCCTATCCCGCCACAGTGATATAACATGTACAACATGAGTCCCCCAAAAGTGAGGGCCCCTTATGTGCGGACAGGTAACAGTAAAAGACATCGCACATAAGAGTCCCAACTTTTGGAATACCCATGCCTGGCAATGCCATGCTGTAGCATAATGGCGGGATGTCCAGTTGTACTAGAGGCGCCTTCAGTTTGTTGGCTGCTCCTGCTGCATTGCTACCCTGCCACCGTGCTATAGCTTGGCATAGCACGTGCCCTAGGCCTATCCCGCCACTGTGCTATAGCATGGCATAGCATAACATGGGTCCCAAAAAGGTGGGGACCCCTAAATGCGCGTCGTCCTTTACTTCCTCTGGGCCCAGCCCGCCATTGCGCTATAGCATGGCATGGCACAACATTGGTTCCCACAAAAGTGTAGACCCCTATGTGCGAGTCGTCTTGTACTGTTACCTGCCCTATGCCTATCCCGCCACCGTGCTATACCATGGCATAGCACGGCAGGGGTCCCCAACAAGTGGGGACCCCTGTGTGCGCGTTGCTTTTACTGTTAATTGCCCTCGGCCTATCCCGCTACGGTGCTATAACATGACATAATACAGCATGGGTCGAGTGTTGGCACGCGAGTACCCGAACGGACGGGACGGGTCGGCCAAGCAAAACGAACAGGACGAGTCAGGCGGGTGAAACATTCTGCACGCATGCGCAGCAAATGCTATTTTTGGCAAATAAATATCTGCTCGCAACGGGGGCCGGGCACTTTGTAGTGTAAGATACAAATGATTCTACACGCATGCTCAGCAAATGCTATTTTTTGCAGTAGATGGACCGGGTTTACATAACGGGGTCGCAACGGGGGCCGGGCACTTTGTATTGCAAAATACAAGAGATTCTGCACGCATGCTCAAAAAATGCTATTTTTGCAATAGATGGAGCGGGGTCGCAACGGGGGCCGGGCACTTTGCAGTGTAAACTGCATTAGATGCTGCACGCATGCTCACGAAATGCTTTTTTTGCAGTAGATGGAGCCGGTTTGCATAACGACCGGTTTTATGGTAAATGAGATTTAATACTTATAGGATTAAGAATTTAGGGGGTTGGGGTTAGGGGTTAGGGTTAGGGTTAAGGTTTAGGGTTTAGGGTTAGGGTTTAGGGTTAGGGTTTAGGGTTTAGGTCCACTAGCCCAAACTTGCAGCCCACTTGACCGTGTCCCACCCACCCATGACCCAAGATATATTGATCTCGATGCGGTATCAGCACGCGACTCGCAAAACGACAACGAGGACGACACCGATGACGACGACGTTGATATTGTTTTCAAAACGACGACGACGCGGCCGCGCAAAGACACCTGGGACGCGGCTGCAACGGCGATGCGGCCCGCGCGCGTGACGACGCAATTTGAAGAACCACGTTTTTTGACGCGAGTCCCTGTGCGACGCAGGGACGCCGCCCAGCGGCGGAGAGGTTGCACGCAAGATCCACGCTTATTGACGCGAGTCCCTGTGCGACGCAGGGACGCCGCCCAGCGGCGGCGAAGTTGCACGCAGTGGTTGCCCAAGGCGCGCAGGATGACTCGTCGCCCCGAAGACAGGGATCCCCCTGTGCATCCTCGGGACTGCGCCGCGGCGCGCAAAGGCCGATGCAAGGGCGATGCGACGCGCGCGCGCGCGAAGCGACATCACATGCCCCCCGCAGCAACTTGGCGACGCCTTGGCGATGCATTGCGCAGCCTGACACGAGGCGCTCGGGGCGAGTCGTTGCTCGGTGAGAGTCACCCCATGTTTGTTTCCTTGGCCCCGCGACGCGACGCGCGAAGGCCGATGCGTCGGCGATGCGACGCGCGCGCGCGAAGCGACACAACGGGAAGGCCTCCCCCACACTGAACCGCACCTGGCCGCTGCTTTGGCGATGCATAGCACGGCCTGGCTCTCCGAGGCCAAGGGCCTGCGTGAGGGGCGCACCCTGGGATTTGCAGATCCTCCCAGAGCGCCATTCCTGGCGCTGCGAGGGCAAGGATATGCGTGAGGGGTGCGCCAAAATGGGGGGGGCGGCCGAAGGAGGGACTTTAAGAGCGCGGAAGTCATTTCAGGATTTAAATCTTTATATGCTCTTAGCTATTAGGGTTTAGGGTTAGGTTTAAGGTTAGGGTTTAGGGTTTTGGGTTTAGGGTTTGGGGTTAGGGTTAGGGTTAGGGTTAAAGATAAGGTTGAGGTTAGGGTTAGGGTTTGGGTTAGAGTTAGGGTTAGGGTTTGGGTTAGGGTTAGGGTTAAGGTTAGGGTTAGGGTTGGGGTTCGGGATAGGGTTAGGGTTAAGGGTTAGGGTTAAGGGGCAGGGTTAGGGTTAGGGTTGGGATTTAGGGTTAGGGTCAGGGTCAGGGTCAGGGTCAGGGTCAGGGTCAGGGTTAGGGTTAGGGTCAGGGTTAGGGTCAGGGTTAGGGTTAGGATTAGGTTTAGGGTTTAGGGTTAGGGTCAGGGTCAGGGTCAGGGTTAGGGTTAGGGTTAGGGTTAGGGCTTGGGTTAGGGTTAGGGTTAGGGTGAGGGTGAGGGTTTAGGGTGAGGGTGAGGGTGAGGGTGAGGGAGATGGTGAGGGTTAGGGTTTAGGGTTAGGGTTTAGGGTTTATTTTTTAAGGTCTAACAGGGCAAGGCCAGGATTACCTACCTGCATAGGCACACACCTGCGGCGGCTATCAATCCCCCCCCCCCCCCCCCCCCCCCCCCCCCCCCCCCCCCCCCCCCCCGCATCTCCACCCCCACATAAAGATCATATCTCCTCTCCTTGTGACAACACCGCTCTAACAGATGGCGCGCGTGCTACAACACGAAGCTTGTGAGGTGTCGACAGGCATGGAAAGCCATGTCTGCAATTATGCAAACCCGTGTCGGTTGTTATAGAAATTCGCAACGATTGTTATGGAAACCCGTGTTCCCTTATGATAACACATATTCAATTTCGAAACCCAACATTATGGAAACCCTTGTCAGTCATGCTGAAAATCCGTGTCGGCTGTTATTTGGAAATTCCAGTCCGTTGTTGTGGACAGCCGTGTCGGCTTATGAGACCTCAGAATCAAGTATGGAAACCCGTGTCGGCAGTTATGGAAAGCCAGGACAATTATGGCAACCCGCGTCCGCCACGTTTCTATGATACAGCCACGCCATAACATGAGGTTCCTATAGCATGAGGTATTCGAGCTGGTATGGTGTGCTATGTTATGCGACGGCCTTGCTATAACATGAAGTTTTCTAAATGCTGGGGAACCTGGTGTCATTCGTATGTCCTTTGCTATGCGATGCTACTGCCGTGCTATAACATGAGCTCCTCATAGTTTCGGTACATCTTCACCTTTGTCGTCGTTGTCGTCGCCGTCGCCGTCGCACTTGCCGTCGCCAACGCCGTCGCGGTCGTCGTCGACGTCGTCGTCTTCATCGGCGTCATCATCATCACTCACTCATCATCATCATCGTCATCAGCATCATCATCATCGCCGTTATCATTATCATCGTCATCATCACCATCATCATCACCATCATCATCACCATCATCATCAGCATCATGTGTGCGCCTTTGTGCTCGGTCTGTCCGAGGCCGTGGC